GAGCGCCGCGCCCCGCGCCCCGCAGGTAGGGCCAGGCCAAGGCCGCGATCCGTTGCCGGGCGCGCTGGGCCGGCCCGGGGCGACGGGCCTCCCCTGCTCTGGTCCCCGGCGGGGGGGGTCCCGGCTCCCGTCTTGCCCCGCCGCTTCCCGGCCCCGGCATCGCCTCCTCCTCCTCCTCCTCCTCGGCAGGAGGCCGGGCCGGCGCAGGCCGCAACGCCTGGAGCCGTGGGGAAGGGCCCTGCGGCCCCCGAGGGTCCTGGGCATGCTGTGGTGGCGGCAGAGCCGGGGGGAGCTCGGCTCCCCTCATGCAGGCGCTGCTAAAAAAGTCGAGAGCTGTTGGCCCAGAGCTGCCCTTCCCAAGCTGTGGGTCGCCACGGGGGCAGCTGTGGCTTGGGAGCGAGGGCCTGGGCTGAGGACATGGGGTCCTGGTGAGAAAAGTTCGGCCTAGAGGGAGTGGGATGCGACCCCGCCGCAGGGAGGTGGTCTCGCGAGTGCGAGTGCTGCCTGGCTGGTTGGGGGTGTGGGGGGTCAGCAAGGGTGAGAGTCCGGCCTGGCCTCAGGGCAGTCCCTTAGCCTCAGCCCTACCTTAGTTTCCCCCCGCGTGATGGGGGTAGCTGCGTCACCGGGGTAGGCGTGTGACGGGGAGCTGGTCTCCCCTACAGCCCCCGGGTCTGTTGTGAGGACGAGCGTGTCAAAGTGGAGACGGGCAGCGCTGGGCATGTGGGCCCAGGGCCAGGTGGGTGGTGGGTGGGAAAAGCCTCAATGATGGTGCATTTCAGGGGATGTTGTAGCGTGGGCTCGGGGCAGCATAGCTAGTGCAGGGCTGTGGGCGATGAGGGGCAGGGGCCTGCGTCCATTGAGCAAGACATATTTTGGGGGGTGGACCGGTGGGAAGGGCACTGCCTGTCCTGCCCTGCTGCTGGGCTGTCGTCTGCCCCCAGCCAAGCTGTGACACAGCTCCTGCATCACAATGTGGCCCATTGTGGCCCTTTCTTCAAGGAGTCTCATGCCCAAGACTTGTGGGCAGTGTTAAGTCACACCAAGGCCCCCGTGGTAACCTAGAGCTCAACTTCTCTGTTGGCGACTGGAGCTTGGGTCTTGCAGTGAGAGGAGCCAGCAGCGTTACAGAAACAGGCAGATTTGGGCCCCCAGCCCAGAGTGGGGTCTCGATGGGGTACTAGCGTGTGCATCACCACTCCAGGTGTCTGCAGCCTGTGCTTTGTCACCTCCACCTCTTACTCTGCTCCTGGGACCTATGAAGCGAATTGGTATCAACTAACCCGTGTTTTTCCTTGCAGGACTGTGTTCCTGAGAGGGGGCGTAGCCATGGCCAGCAGAGGGAAGGGTGGCCAGCACAGCAGTCCTCATTATACTAACCGTCTGATTAACGAAAAGTCTCCCTACCTCCTTCAGCATGCCCACAACCCCGTGGACTGGTGAGAGACAGCGGTCCCTTTTGCTTTACCTGCAGCGGAGCTGGGTAGGATGGTTGGGGGTGCGGTGCTGAGCAGCGATAGCTGGAAAACTGTTAGAGGCTAAATGTCTCATGCTTTCTGTCTGGTAGCCCTGGGCTCTGCAAGTCCTTTCATTGCATCTGAAGAAGTAGGTTTGCCTAGGAAAGCTCATGCATTTCAGAACAAGTTAGTCTACAAGTGGCCACCCTGACCTGTTTCTGCCTCTCTTGGGACAGAGATTTCCCATGTCTTTTTGTCTGCTGTGTTTATTTTCCAGAGCCGTCTGGTGGTGACCATGTGCTACCAGCCACCCGGACCTCTAAATAGTAGGGCTGTGCGAAACACCATTTTGTTTTGGCGTCTGTTTTGCCGTTTTGAAGGGACAGTGTTTCGTTTCATTTCGTTTTGAAACACTGTTCTGTTTCATTTCGTTGAAACTGTTTCGCTATTTCAGCTCATTTTGACGTTTCGCCCATAGGCTATAATCATGCAAATGCCTAAAACTTTGTCATTTCTTGCCTGATTTGGATGAAACCTGAGGGCATGAAACCTGCCAAGTTTCAAGGAGATAGGTGTAGAGGTTTCTTGGAAACTGCATCTCAAATGTCAAGAAGCAAAACTTGTGACGCTTGCCGGCAGTGGCAGCCTTCTGTCATCCGGCGCAGATCCGGGGGCCTGCACCCCCGGGAGAGCTGTGGGGCTGCGCCAGACTTCTTCCAGGGGTACGCCAGATCTGCGCTGGATGACACAAGGCTGCCGCTGCCACCTGGGACCAGCGCTGGGTGCAGCCTGTGCCCAGGGCCAGGGAAGACTGATGCCGCTGCTGGCCCCAGGCAGCAGTGGCAGCCTCCTGTCATCTGGCCCGGTGGCAGGAGGCAGGGAAGAGCCGGGACTGCTCCGAGGAGCTCCGCAGCCCCATGGAGCTCAGCTTGGTGGTGGGAGGCGGGGAGAGCCGGGGCTGCGCTGTGCCTCCTGGCACTGGACTGAGCTCCATGGGGCTGCAGAGCCACTCAGAGCACAGCCCTGGCTCTCCCCAGCCTCTCACCGCCTGGCTGCTTCGAAACTCAAAACATTTTGAAACTTTAGAAACATTTTGAGTGCCGCCATTTTGTTTTGAAGCTTTTTGTTTCATTTTGATTTTGCTGTTTCGAGCTCGAAACATGTCGAAACAGCTTCGAAATGAAACACTTGGCGAAATTTCACATGGCTTTTCTAAATAGGTCTTGATTAGCGACAGCTGCTTGACTGCTTGTCCTAGACCATGCCCTGACCCTGTGTGATGCCCTAATGGCATAAGCCTTTTTTTTTTCTCCCCCCTTTCTTTTCTCCCTAGGTACCCATGGGGCCAGGAAGCCTTTGATAAAGCCAAAAAAGAAAACAAACTGATCTTTCTGTCAGGTAATGAGAGGCAAATGCACTTCACTTTCCTATGCGTACATGTGTAAATCATGCCGTAAGCCCTGCTGCTTTGTCTGAGGCTGGTACCTGAAGGTCACTCTGACCTCTGGGAGAAGATTGCCTTGAGGATCTTGTGCCTGAGGACTCTGTGATCAGGCAGTTTTGAATGGACTCCAGTCAAAGTTGGGCTCTGTCTTGGTTACCAGAGTCGTTGAGACAGGAGTTAGCAATGCAAATAACAAGGTGGCCTCCATTCCCTGATGCAGGCTTGTTTCCTACTGTCTGCTCTCCTGTCTGATCTGTAGATGGCCAGCCTGGTGGAGACCCCATCGGTCCCCTTGGGACAATATCCCACTATCTAACAGCTCTCATTGTTTGTGCCTCGGTTCAGCCGGGAGCCTTTCTTTAATTGGCAGTATGTATTTTCAGTCGGCTATTCCACCTGCCACTGGTGCCATGTGATGGAAGAGGAGTCCTTCAAGAACAAGGAGATTGGCCGGATTCTCAACGAGAACTTTGTCTGCATAAAAGTGGATCGCGAGGAGCGGCCTGACGTGGATAAAGTCTACATGACCTTTGTGCAGGTGAGGAGAGTGATGACAAGAAAAGCGGGGTGTGGTGGATAAGCTGTGGAGAACCACTCTTCCAGGCACAGGTGGACACACAGGGTCTCCTGGGGCAGTAGAGATGATAGCTCATCTATGGCTCTTCTTTCAGGCAACCAGTAGTGGAGGGGGCTGGCCGATGAGCGTGTGGCTGACTCCTGACCTCAAACCCTTTGTAGGCGGGACGTATTTTCCCCCTGAAGATGGAATTTACCGAGTCGGCTTTAAGACGGTGCTGCTGCGAATTGTTGATCAGGTGCGTAGTTTTCTGTTTGAGCTCCAGTGGTAGGTTTTGGGGTTCTCATTGGAAACAGAGCAGAGATCCAGGGCAGAGAAGTCAGACGGGCTGTCGGTATTAACACCGGCTGTTGGATTGGAAGGGCTACTGGGCGGAGGTGGATTTGGGGACTTGGGAAATGGGGACGTTTGGGCTGGGTTGAGGGGACAAGTGAGTTAAATGCTGGATGTCGAGGTCAGGTAGCGAGAGAGTACACCTGCTGAGGGATCAGCATAAAGGAATAGGCTCACAGCTCTGGAAGGTCTGAAGAACAGAAGAGATTTTGTATGGGGAGGGAGGCCTTTGATAGCTCCAGGGTCATGAAAAGCACAGGGAGGCCAAGAGCAGCACGTGGGGCAGGACTGACCTCTTCCCTGTTCTTCCGCCTAGTGGAAGCGAAACAAAGAGGCCCTTTTGGAGAACAGCCAGAGGATCACAGATGCACTGCTCACAAGGGCTGAGGTTGGCATCAGGAGCGAGGGGTCGCCCCCACCTTCATCTGAGGTGATGACCCGATGCTTCCAGCAGCTGTCTGAGTCGTACGACGAGGAGTATGGTGGCTTTTCAGAGTTCCCCAAGTTCCCCACGCCAGGTCAGCCTGTTACCTTCTAACAGAGACATCCCAGGAGCAGGGATCATCGCTGGGCACAGACCTGACTCCAAGCATTTGCCTTTGTTGTTGTGTTCCAGTCAATTTGAACTTCCTCTTCACATACTGGGCCCTGCACCGGACCTCTCCTGATGGTGTACGGGCCTTGCAGATGGCTCTGCACACCCTCAAGATGATGGCCTATGGTGGGATTCATGATCACATTGCCCAGGTAAGAGGCACGGGGTGTCAGATGGTCCTTAGTGATGCAGTTTCTTGGGAGAACCATGCTTAGGTGTCTTGAAACACTCTCCTTTGACAAGCTAGCTCCAAAGACAAAATCACCAGGACAGCTCAGTGACCCAGGGCTGAATTGGAGACTCATGTTTCCTTTCTCTCTCTGCAGGGATTCCACCGCTACTCCACTGACCAGAGGTGGCACGTTCCTCACTTTGAGAAGATGCTGTACGACCAGGGGCAGCTGGCAGCAACATATGCCAAGGCGTTTCAGGTATGGCCAACGTAGCTCTTACCCCGAGTGATTGCGTAGGGCTCTGAGGCGGGGCTACAAAGAACTGGTCGAAGAGCAGAAGCCTGATCTTGATGAGAAGGGCCTCTTTCCTGATGGTTGAGTCTGGAGCGTGTGTGTTATCTGAGGTGAGGGGACAAGCTTGAACAAGCTCTTTGGGAGGCTTGCCAGCTGTCCTCTGTCACCGAGGCAGACGCTGTGACAGACGCCGCTTTCATGTGGAGCCTGATTTCAGGTCCATGTCTCATGCAGAAACTCTTGGGCGGAGGTGTGGGGAAGCAAAAGCTGCTGGCTGACTTCTTCCTGGTGAAATGCCCACAGAGGACAGAGTTTGCAGCAGTGAGGCTGGGACTTCATTGTTACTGCAATGAGGGGACCTTGTCTAACTCCTAGTTACACAAGAGCATAAGTAAAAGTAACAGCAGGCTCTAGGACAGCTGTTCCCAGATGAGGGGTCCTGACCTCAAATGGGGCTGTGGCACTTAACAAACAGGGCTGTGAGTGGCACAGGCAGTATCCATACAGATGTCTTCACAGCACCATAGTTATGTGCCCCATTCCTGACAGGAGACTCCCAGTAACGGGTGTTGGTGTGATAGGACACTGGCCCTCAGGATCTGCACTAAGAGCAGTGGGCTCGGTCCCCATGGGCTCTGGACAGGAAGCAGATTACAAGAACTCCCCGCCTCTCCCAGTCAGGCTCCTCTCTATGCCAGCCCAAGTCCCTTTGAGATACTCCCCTGGGAGGCAGGAGGGGCCCTGGGGAGCACTTGCTGCTACCTTGAGTTTTCAAATGCAAGGAAGAGCAATGCTTTCAAAGGAGTTGAGTTCTGGACTGTACCCTGCTCTCAGGGACCTTGGCATAAATATCGAATAACTCATGGAAGCCAGCAGATTCCCCCACACTAGGTCCCTCCAATCCCATTGTGGGTTTGATGTCCTGGAGCCCTCACATTGGGTTTTCCTCTTTCCTGGCTCCGCTGCTCCTCAGCTCTGAGTTAGCACAGGAGTGCCCCTTGCCCCAGCTCTGTTCTTGTGATCTGGAAATAAAATGCTCCTTGTCTCATGCAGATTTCTGGCGATGAATTCTTTGCAGATGTTGCCACCAACATCCTGCTCTATGTCTCCCGGGATTTGAGTGACAGGGTAAGTCAGTATCTAAGCTCAGGGGTATTTGTCTCTCTCCTCCCAATCTCATGCTGCTGCCACTCTGGCTTGCCAGGAGTAATGCTTACTGCCCCAGGGATGGTCAGATCCTCTGCCCTCCCTGAAGCAGACTTCTTTGGGCTCAAACCCAGCCCCTGGGTATCCTCTGCCTCTACTGGCTTGGATGGATCAGTGATTTAGCCTGTGCTCTCCTTCTGTCTCATCCCCACACTACCCCTGGGTGGCTGGACAGATTTCCTCAGGCCTTGTCTGTCCTGCAGTGCCTGGAGTGGAGATTTTTTTGTAGCTTCTGCATATGTCCCTCTTTTTATCCCAGCATCACCTCCTGCTGGCTAGCTGATTCATTATTAGTGAGCACAGAGCATCTGGGGTGGGGGGAGCGTTGCCATTTCTGCCCTGTGTGGGCTCTGCTGTGGCGTTTCAGGCCGGAGGGTTCTACAGTGCGGAGGATGCGGATTCCTATCCCACAGCCAAGTCCAAAGAGAAGCAGGAGGGGGCTTTCTGCGTGTGGACAGCAGAGGAAATCCGGGCCCTCCTTCCGGACGCTTTGGAGGGGGACTCAGACAGGAAGACGCTGGCAGACATTTTCATGCATCACTATGGTGTGAAGGAAGGCGGGAATGTAAGCCCCACGAAGGTAAGTTGGGGGCGCTGGCCTGAGGCTTCGGGAAAGGAAGGGTTGCGGGGGACACTGGACTCTGGACCTAACTAGTGGATGTAGTGGAGGGGAAGATTCAAAAGCCAGTTGTCCCAGGTGCTAGGAGATGCCACGGGGGTGATTCTGGTAGTCAGACATACAGCAGCCCAGAGGGGAGTGCTGCAGCGGGGTTATGGGAAGGAGTGATGCGGGACTGGGTAGGTCCTAGGAGAGAACTGCATAGCTAGAGATCCTCAGAGGATGCCCCAGCCTAGGTAAGGCAGGTGGGGTCAGGTTGTGGCTCTCAGGGGTCCCCGAGGTTTCAGTGAGCAAGTTAGGTGTCTGGATGCACCAGGGTACATGTCCCCAGCACTGCTGTGATGTAGCTGGGCTCATTGCAGGACCCATACAATGAGCTTAAAGGCAAGAACGTCCTGATTGTGCAGTATTCCCTGGAGCTGACAGCAGCCAGGTTCGGTCTGGAGCTGGACCATCTGAAGGCCATGCTGGCAAAGAGCCGGGAGCGGCTGTCAGAGGTCCGGGCCCAGCGACCACGGCCTCATCTGGACTCCAAGATGCTGGCATCCTGGAACGGTGAGACAGGGCCTCTTCATCCTCCCTATGGCTCAGTGACTTTTGCCACCATGACACAGGGCTTCCATTGCCCTGCAGTGACTTGTGCTGTGGTTCTCCCCCCTGCTGGACATGGGCTGGGGTCTTCCCACCTCCAACTGTTGCAGGCTTTCTGCAGACTCAGGCAGCATCTGTTACACTTGAGTGGCCTTGTCAAGCTTTCCTCCACCAGGGTGAGGCCTGAGAATATACAGAGGTCTTAGGTGGGAGCTGGGATTCAGCCTTTTATCACATGATTCCAAGAGCAGGGTCCCTATCCTGGGACCTGCCTGCCCCTACTTTAATCTAGCCCTGGTACAGTGTGTGCCTGGGAGGGGGCAGCCCATCCTAGGAAGCACTGAGATCTGTGGAGAGACTAGCAATTGGAAGGCTGCTGTTATTAATTGCCCCAGCCACTAGGTAGG